ATTCTCACGATTGATTTTAAAAACTGAGGTAGTTTAAATGAGATGTTACCTGGGATTTAAAGACATTTAAACCCAACAAGTAATATTCCTTACATATTTACATTTTTACGTACATTGTCATATTTGTTTGTTTTTAGAAGGCACCATATGAAGATGCAAAGAGGCTATATTTGATCCAGTTATACAGTATTCTGCTTCTGTGGGATTTATATCTTTGACTTAAACTGATGGACGGAAGAGGTGAGATCTTATGTAATCTATATCTTGCTGTAGGTGATGCTGGAGGATGGCAGGTCCAAAGGTTTTGGCTTTGTGTGTTTCTCCTCACCTGAGGAGGCCACAAAGGCCGTGACAGAGATGAACGGGCGTATTGTGGGCTCTAAACCACTGTACGTAGCCCTGGCCCAACGCAAAGAAGAACGCAAAGCTCATCTGACCAACCAGTACATGCAGCGTATTGCTGGCATGAGGGCCATGCCTGCCAATGCTATCATCAACCAGTTCCAGCCTGCCGGTGGTTACTTTATGCCAGCTATGCCACAGGTGGGTGAAATCCAAAAGTCTTAGACAACAATGAAAACATGGGATTTAAATCCCATTTAAACCTGGAAACGTATTATAGTTTATAAAAGAAAAAATGTAATTTAAATATTTTAATTATTTTTTTTCAAGACCTCGCTGTTATATTATGGAAGGCCATTTCCACCATAGAAGAAAAAAAATCATCTTTGGTAAATCATAATTATGACATAAAATAAAAACATTATGAGATACCCAGTCAAAATGATTATACTAAATCAAATAATGACATAAAAAGTCAAAATTGTGAGATAAAAAGTCATAATTGTGAGATAGAAAGTCATAATTATCACATAAAAAGTAAAAATTATGAGATACTATGAAATAAAAAGTAAAAATTGTGATAAAAAATTATGAGATACTAAGTCATAATTATGAGATAGAAAGTCATAATTATGGCACAAAAAGTAAAAACAATAATGACATTGAAAATCATAATTATAACATACTAATTCATAATTCATAATCACAAAAGTAAAATTTTTATCTCATCGGATTATTCCACAATTTTCACTTTTACTCATAAGTTCAACTAATGTCGTAATGATGACTTAGTATATCATAATTTTGACCTTTTATCTCATAATTTCGATTTCCCACAAATATGACTTTTATGTCATAATTATTCACCAAAGCATTATTATTCTGGCTGAATTGTACTTCATTGTATATCAAAAGTATATCAATAAATATATAGATTATAAATCAATCAATAAATAAGGGCTCTGAAGTAGTAAAATGTTCCATTCAATGATTAATAAACTTTCCGATTATATCTTTTGTTTCCTTCTAATGCATCACAGGCCCAGAATAGAACAACATACTATGCACCAAACCAGCTCACCCAGATACGTCCGAACCCTCGCTGGCAGCAGCAGGGTGGCAGAGGTCAGGGTGGCTTCCAGGGCATGCCCAGCTCCTTGCGCCAACCAGGGCCCCGTGCCAACATACGCCACCTGGCTCCCAGTGCTTCCACCCAAGGCCCACGCGGGATCCCCACAGGTGCACAGAGAGTGGGTGAGAAAACCCACCCACTACTGATGTGATGCCCTGTTGTGACAAACTTTGACCTGTTTTCCAGACCCAGACACCTAAAAAATGTCCACTATCGCATCAAATTATATTTAGTATAGTTGGTTAATGGTGTCATAGATTATGATTCAGGTTTTAGTTTATTTTAATAATAATGTATATCTATTGGTTCTAGTTGGTATTTACCTGATCATGTAATTCCATTGAATAACACCACAGACTACACATTTATTGATTACAACAAGTGAGTTTGGTGATCATTCTGTCCTGGCCATAGCGTTAATGTTATTTACCTCTTTCTACAACTAGGAGGCAGTAGCCAACTAATGGGTCCCCGCCCTGCCATGGGGGTGATGACCCCACGTGCCATGCCCCCATACAAGTATGCCACTGCCGTACGAAACACTCATCCTCAGGTTGTGCAGCCTATTACTCTGCAACAGGTAATATGCAGTCATATACTGCACGTAAGTAAAAACTACACCTTTGACTCAGTAATTCTAGTTGTCCAGTTGTTCTGTTTCTGATGTTATGGATTGTATATTTAATTCACTGATACATATTTAATCAGAAAGGTAAAACGTGTCTAATTTTAGTTATAAACAGGAATAGAATAAATTTTTTGTCATAAAACATTGCCATGTAAAGAACAGTCATATGGGTAAAGTTCAAAGATATGTTAGAGAGCATGGTAAATGAATTAAGTAGGGTTGCACAATATATAGGTATCATATCTTTAAAAACACTAATAACTTAAAGGAAACATATTATGCCCCTTTTTACAATATGTAATATAAGTCTCTGGTGTCCCCAGAATGTGTCTGTGAAGTTTCAGCTCAAAATACTCCACAGATCATTTATTATATCATTTTGAAAATGCCTATTTTGAGTGGAAGCAGAAACACGCTGTTTTTCGGGCCTGTCTCTTTAAATGTAAATGAATTGCTGATCCCCTCCCCCTTTTCCAGAATAGAGCTGCGCCATTACAGCTCGTACCTGATAAAAACATCTGTTTTGGTTCTGATTACCATGTTTATCGTGCTAAAATCATGCGTTTTAAACCATATGAATTTAAACTTCTGATATACGGTAGGGGCGGTAATATTATAATGAGATCCCTTTGCCACGTCACCAAGGGAGCGAAATCAGACGCGCTTGTTTTCTCAGACGCTTGCAGAAAAAGGCTTACCAAAACAAAGTTACTGGGTTAATCTTTTTCACGTTTCCTTGGTTGGTAGATTCACCGGGGACCTTAATCAGTAAGGTCCCCTTAATCAGGGAAATTAATCGGTTATCTTCCAGAACTTGAAAATTATTGACTTTTCTGGACAGAATAATAATATTGTGCACTGCTAGAATTAAGATATAGATTTGAAAAACACAATCAAATTCTCATTTTGTGGTTAACTTTCTTCTGCAGGCTCAGCCAGCTGTTCACGTGCAGGGTCAGGAGCCTCTCACTGCCTCCATGTTAGCTGCCGCTCCTCCTCAGGAACAGAAACAGATGCTTGGTGAGATGTGGAGCCTGTGAGCATGTTCAGCCTTTCTAAACATATTCTTATACTCCCGAGGACATTTTTGTGCATTAGAGTTTTATGTGATAGACTAGTTCACCCAAAAATGAAAATTCTGTCGTTTGCGCACCCTTGGAACAACTTTGTAACAAATTTTTGATCTCTTGGAACAAAAATTGTGGTGGACTATCCCTTTAATTACTTTCTTATTTTATTCTTCCCTGTAGCTATATCTAATTGTTTATTGTCTGTCTTACATGTGCCCATTCTCTTTTCTCTCAGGTGAGCGGTTGTTTCCTCTCATCCAGGCAATGCACCCCAGTCTAGCCGGGAAGATCACAGGAATGCTGCTTGAGATCGACAACTCTGAGCTGCTGCACATGCTGGAGTCCCATGAGTCTCTGCGCTCCAAGGTGACGGCCGTTAACTATGATAAAAGCCTCCAGTAACAGACACTAGCTCTTCTGTTTTGTGCAATAATGGGTAAAGAGTCACAAGCTTTTAACAATGCAAAGCCTATTGACTGGACCAGGGACATAATATTGTGCACTCATTTATTAGGATTTATGCTTTGCCTAGCAAAGACTGTTCCTGAGATGTAATTTAGATATGACAGTGGCATTTTAGAAGTGAACTGCTTATTAGAGGCATGAATCTCTGTGGTGAAGATGGTTTGGGGATTGCAGGACTGATGATTTGTCTCTGTTGTCAGGTGGAGGAGGCTGTCGCAGTGCTTCAGGCTCACCAGGCCAAGAAAGATGCCACACAGAAAGTGGGAGTCACCGCTGTGACTGTAGCCGCAACATCATGACAAGTAACGTTTCTTATCATCAGTAGTATTATAATTGCAATGCTTGTTGTTATAATGACCAGGCTATTTATTTACAAAACTAAATTGTTTTCATTTGAAATTGTTTTCTGCAGGGTGAAGCTGAAAGACTGAAGAGAGATCACCACTGTCTCGTGTCGTCTGGTGGCAACCAATAAGAACACAAAAAATAAAACATGAAAAAAAAAAGAAAAAGAAAAAATGATACTTGAACATAAAGAATACAAATTTGTTGCAGGGCTTATATTTTTAACTCTATAATAATTTTTATCACCTAAAGTTAATTTTAAAAAGAGGCAGTTCTCTGAAGGAAGAGCCTCTGTATTGTGGCCAGGACTGACTTTTTCTATGAGGAAGTGGGAAACTTGGTTCTTCTGTGAGCTGTGTGTTTGCTGCTTTGATTGGACCTCACTTGTCCCATGACAATAACCCGAGTGGTGTGTCACTCTAAATAAAGGGATGACTATTTAAAATGAAATATATTTTCGTCGTCTTCTTCTTCTTCATTTTTAAGTAGAGACAAAGGTCATTTTACAGACACTCTTTATCCAAAGTGACTTGCAGTACAGGAACAGTCCCTTTAAAGGTTACACTTTCTGCTCAAGGGCCCAATAATAACGGAAGTGTTCATAACATCCCATTTCACCTTTACCTGGGACTAGTCACATGACCAAATCCATTTAATTCCAGTTTGCATCCTCTGAAGGATGATATCTGTGTCAAAGCTCCATAAAAGCTCTTACAAATACAGCTACCATATTTAATTGGCCTATTGCATTATCAAGATATAAATCATATAAATCAATGAACACTAAAGATGGTCCTATTTAAGTAACACATACATATGGTTCCCCACCGTTAACAACAGTGACTGGAAATTAAACAAAGTTTTTCATAAAAAATTATACATGGTTTTACATGGCTTTCCAATGAGTAAAATACATCTGTTCACTTAGCAGGGGAACTAACTAACTAACTAACTAACTAACAGTACAGCTGTTAATCCTCAGCTGAACAAAGGATTTGTGTATTTCTGTAATGTTATTTGGCCTCCGCAACACTAGAGGGCGACACACCGTCTCGAGGTGGCGAAGAAGACCAGAGTCAAAAGTGAAAATGGCGGCGACTAAACGTGTTCTTTATATCGGTAAGAAAAACATCAAAATTATAATTCAAAATAACAATCGCTTCGCTCTCAAAGTGCACTGATTTAATCCCACAGCCATATGCATGGTAGTGATGCGGTAGCTGTATCCGGGAAAACACCAGAACATGAAATATGTGCTTGAATTGAACGTTCAGTGCGTTGAAAATGAAATATTATAATAAGTCAAATATACGGTCCTGTTTTTCTCAGGTGGTCTTGCGGAGGAGGTGGACGAGAAAGTGTTGCACGCTGCGTTCATTCCCTTTGGTGACATCACAGATATTCAGATCCCGTTGGATTATGAGACCGGTGACAAACGCACATAAATATACACAAAATACACTCCTATCATTATAACTCAAAAACGCACTTTAATACAGAAACAGTTTTACGGTTTAACAAAATAACGACAAAAATAACGCACATTATGTCTTACTCTTTCTGTCCACAGAGAAGCACAGGGGCTTTGCATTCATCGAGTTTGAACTGGCAGAGGTGAATACCTGCTAAATCCCTCTTTAATTAAAATAGAATATACCGGTATCATCGACTCAATTAAAATGAGATGACGTTGCTCCTCATTAGCTCCCTATAGTTTGCACAAACCACCATTGCATGACTGGTTTGTTTGACGCTATAGTAAAAGATGAAACCTCTTGAATTCACCTGTGTGTCAATTTGTTAAATTACTTTCTGCTTTTTCTCCAGGATGCAGCAGCTGCCATCGATAATATGGTGAGTTATTGAACCACTCACTTCTGTGGTCTCATAAAATCCAACACTGTCAGAATGTGCACTGCAAGAGTCCAGGTTAATGTCTGTTCGGCTTTGTGTTCTGCAGAATGAGTCCGAGCTGTTCGGCAGAACCATCCGGGTGAACATCGCCAAACCCATGAGAATTAAAGAGGGCTCCTCTCGACCAGGTGAGGGATTTTTGGTTTCCTGCTTGTCTTTCTGTTACTCTTAGTGATTATGCCGTGTTAACTCATTACTTGCATGCTCATGAAACGTAAATGTATGTTTCTTTGCTGCTCTGCTCATAGTGTGGTCTGAAGATGACTGGCTGAAGAAGTTCTCAGGGAAGACTGTTGAGGAGAGCGAGGAGGCGGAGTCAGCCGCAGAATCAGCCAGTACAAATACACAGGAGGTGGGAAAGCTGTAATATAATTGGTTGGTTTTAGTATAAAATGATAATGCCTGATAAATTGTCATTTTGGTATAGCTGTTTATTTCTGCTAAGTGTCTGATGTTCTGTTTTAGATTTTATTTTCTGAGCTTTGTCATTTTGTGTTCCTGAGCAGGGAGAACCTCCAGTGAAAAAAGGCAGAAATAACCCACAGGTCTACATGGACATCAAGATCGGCAACAAACCTGCAGGCCAGCTGCGCTTCCTCCTGCGAGCGGACGTTGTGCCCATGACTGCAGGTCAGAATCAGTTAACCAACTTTAGAGTCTCCTCCTTTTTTCTTTTTCGAGAATCCGTTTTGCTCGAGTGTACTTCACAATACGGAAGAAAATATCTGTCGCTACTTTTGTTTCATTGCGACATATGTCAGGACATCACAGCTGTTTTGTTCATTTGTTCTCCTGTAGAAAATTTCCGTTGTTTGTGCACACATGAGAAAGGCTTTGGATTCAAGGGCAGCAGCTTCCACCGAATTATTCCTCAGTTTATGTGCCAAGGTGGAGATTTTACCAACCACAACGGCACCGGGGGGAAGTCCATATATGGACGCAAGTTTGATGATGAGAACTTTGTCCTCAAGCACACAGAACCAGGTGAGACGAGTCTTCAGTTTGAGAGAAGTTGTGTGTGTGTTTTTGTAAGATTGTTTCAACTGAATATTCAATGAGGATCAGTAAGTGTATTTGTTGATGTTGATCTGAAATGAAGACTGGTCTCATGTTGTTTTGCTGTGTGCTCATAGGTCAGCTGTCAATGGCAAACTCTGGTCCCAATTCTAACGGCTCGCAGTTCTTCATCACTGTCGATAAAACCGACTGGCTGGATGGCAAACATGTGGTGTTCGGAGAGCTCACAGAGGGCATGGATGTACTCCGGGCCATGGAGGTGAGTTGCTAACTGAGGGAGGTTAGATTTGCAATCACAAATGACTGGTTTACACTACTGTTCAAAAGGTTGTGGTTAAATGTTTTTGAAAGAAGTCTCTTATACTCACCAAGGCTGTATTTATTTGATATTAATATTGTGACATATCTTTAACAATTTGAAATAACTGTTTTCTTTTTTAATATATTTGAAATTTAATTAATTCCTGTGATGGCAAAGCTGAATTTTCAGCAGTCATTACTCCAGTCTTCAGTGTCACACGATCCTTCAGAAATCTTTCCAATATGCTTATTTGCTGTTCAAGAAACATTTATTCTTATTTATCAAAGTTGAAAACCGTTATGGATATTTTTTTAATGATTCTTTGATAAATAGAAAGTTCAAAAGAGCAGCATTTGAAATGGAAATCTTTTATAGTGCATTGTAAAAATCTTTACTGTTACTTTTGATGCATTTAATGCATTTTTGCTGAATACAATTATTCTGGTTACTTTTTTGTCCTGTTTTCTAATGCTTTGTATTTGTACTGTTTCCTCAGGCTCAGGGAACAAAAGAAGGCAAAACCAAACAGAAAGTCATAATTTCCAACTGTGGAGAGTATGTGTGAATTCAACGTACTACATGTTTGTTTTGTGTGAGAGAGAGTGTAAAAAAAAAAGCTGTTATCGTCTGAATTTTGTAGTACTTTGTAAATATTCAAATAAAACTTTTATGCATATATTTTCTTAGATTTTTTTTAAATAGTGGCCTCTATATAAGTTGTCATTTCAAGTCAATAATACTAAAACAATTCATTTATTCATTTTCGAGTCTTCTAGACATGTATATTTGTTGGATTTAAACTGGGCATCTGGTTCTCATGTTAAGTGTGAAAGTCTGCAATTTGGCAAAAGTTTAGGAAGTTTCATTTCTGAAGTGTATAATGTGTTACTGACTCCCCCCCCAATTCTCTCCACAAAGATACATTTTACATGTTCTGTTTCCTCAGATCATAGAGCTGCATTTACATAAAAATCAGTAAAACAGAACAAACTGTAAAATAATGAACCAGGAAACAAAATATCTTTTATTGTAAACACAGAAACATTAGTTTGTGAGATGTTAAACTGACATAGAGCCACTGAAAAAGTGAAGCCATCAAGCCATTTGTTTTAAAAGCGTATTAGCTTTATACACATCAGCAAGCAATGCCCCAATCACCTCCCCCATATGACCAGTATTATAGACACTTTCATTTGAATGTTTGAAGAGTTTTCCAATTATCAGACTATTTCTAAAAAAATAAATAAAAAAAAACACTAGACAAAAGTTGTTACCATTTAAATGCATAGGGAACCATTGCAAAGTTGGAGGGATTTATGATTAATTCATCAGTGAATGATTTTTTGAATGATGTTTACTGGAATTGTGTTGTTTGTCCAGCTTCATTAAAAGTGATTAAAGCACATGGGGTTGATTAAAAAAAGCTAACAAAACATTCACATTCAAGTTCTTAATCATACCAACATTCATATTCAAATTCCCTTAAGTTTATTTCAACAGAATTACACTAAAGAAACATTTATAAAATCCATATCCTCAAACTATTACTCATCTCGCATTCTCCATCCGTTCATAAATGTCTAGGGGAATACTGAAGCGTGAACAATTATATCTCAGTAAAATACTCCTGGACACTAAATATCACAGGGTGTCTACACAGATTGCAACATCCAAGTCATAAATTACATTATAATGCCTCATGCTATGGATACCATATGAATGTTTTGTGACAGTGTCTGTCTCTCTTTGATGGGTTCAGCCTAAATTCATAAGACAACACCATAAAGACTATATTTTCTCCCTATCTGTTGAAGATCTCAGATGTCTGAGAATCTGAAGTGTTTATTATGGATAAATATTATTGTATTGTACTGTAATTGTAGTCTTCATTAACAACAGACTTAAATCTAGAAGGGTCTCAGAGCCAATGAGCCGCTGAGTGTGCTGTCATAGAAATGCACTGGTTTGAACTTCACATCTGTGATCCAGTAATATTTGAGTAGCAGCAATTACAGAAGTCAAGTGCTTTGTGCTCTTAAAGTTTCCCTAATGTTACTCTAATGTTATCAAAGGTTATGGATTCTCCTTCAGCTGCTTCAGGACATTTGTTTATTGATCCCTGCTGTATCAAAGTTCTAGAATTGAGAGCTATTTTTTGCAGGCTTTTCTACGTAGTTCAAAAAATGTATAATTTTTACTTCAAAATCTATTTGCATAGAATCTGTTGCTAGGAAACAGGGTCACATTATTACATTATGTGCTTTAGTTGTTCATTTGTGCTCTTCATTGCCATTTTAAGGTTAATTCGCAGTGCACTGACAGAAGCCGATCAACAGCAAAAGAGAAGCTTGTTGGGTTCAGTCGGATCAGTGTGTTACCCCTGAGTTGGTCAGAGCTTGTAATCAGAAACTGAACGTTTAATTGTATTAGTCGGGTCGTGGAATTTCTGGCAATTGTTGCTGTTGGTCAGGGCTGTCGGTGCAATAAACTAGCCTTTACAAATGAATGGATTTTTAGGTTCAGCCTAAATTACTATCTGATACAAAGTGCACAAAACAAATGAAGGAAGAGACTGCACAAATGAGCTATAAATGTACGACTTTCTTCATCTCCTAAAGTTGAATAGTGAAGCTGTGATTTTAAGGCGCCAAACATACATTTGTTTTACACGTTTTTCTTACCATGCAAAGAAACACATTCCAGTTTCAAGCACTACGTGCTGGCTCCTTGAACTTCTCTGGAGATAATATTTAATCTATAAATATTGACCAGGCATTCTCTTTCTCCATGTTTGGAATGACTCCGAAGTGCCATCCGAGGGATGAAATATCCTACTCATGCAATTCTTCCACCTCTCTCAGGCAAGCTAAGAACGAAGGGGAATAAGATGCCTTTGGCCTCCACAGGTGCTTTCAGAGACTCGTCTTTGAATCGACCTCCATCCTCTTCTACAATGAACTGAAGAGTCTGAGATTTATTCACACAGTAGATGCAATTATCGATGACAGCGCTTCGAAATGGCAGTGTGCAGCCCTGCTGCTGGGAGGCGACATCATGCCACATCTTCACGATGGTGTTGTATTTAAAGACACTGATGCCCTGTTCACGGTTAACATCAAATCGGTAGATGAAGCTCTTGAGAGCCACCATGTCTGTGGATTTTTTCCTGCTGTTGTTGTATGGACACTCCTGCCATTCGTCTCTCTTGGGGTCATATTTCAGCAACCGATAGAAAAGAGACCCTCCCGAGACGTACAGCTCTCCGTTACACGTAGTGGCTTCGTGAGCCACTGCAAATGCTCCTTTAGGTAGAGGAGCCACCGCCATCCAGCGGTCCATTCGAGCGTCATACTTCTCCACCGTGAAAAGACATTCACCACCAATGGCGTACAGGTTCCCGTCCATGGAGACGAGTTTGAGTTGCGATCGTGCTTGGGTCATGGGTCGGACTTCGCTCCAGAGGTCTGTAATGGGATTGTAGCAGAATACTTTGTCCGAGACTTTGCTTTTCTCCCCAGTTCCCCTGATCCCGCCGGCCACAAACAAGTAGTTGTACATTGTACAGATTCCGCAGCCCCTGGTGTTGATGTCTTCTGGCATGACGGTCAGGGTGTGCCAGTCCTTACTGCTCTTATTGTAGTAGTAGATCATGTGATTGTCCTCAAAAGACGTGATGGAGAGAGGACTCTGGGGACGGCTGCTGTTTCTGCTGGGCGGTCTACTTCCTACACGCTCAAACACGTCGTTGATTTCCGCCACCATCAGACACTGGCGGCTCTCCATCCGTTTGCGCAGTATGAGGTCTCTCTCTGAGCCCGTGAGGCGCCCGTAGACGGCCGGATCTCTCAGAACCTGGAGAAAGTTGTCACTCATGAACCGATAGGCTGTTTCTTTCAGTTCATTTAGTCGCTGCTTTTTGGCGATCATTAGGATTTCATAGCAGTTCTCAGGTGTGATCTGTGTGGATATGGTGTCGATAGCAGCCTGGACCGCACAGGGCATCTGCAGAATCTTTGCTCCTGTGATGACATCCACAATATTGTCTTTGCTTACGTTCATCTGGGAAGAGTAAACATAATCTACAAGCGCTGACAAGGTCTTGTAGCTCATTCCTTTTACTTTCAGGATGTCTCGAGAAAGCCTGGCCTTAAAATAATCACTTTTCTCAGCTAATACTGATTTGTGTGCTTGTATTTTCTGTCCGCCCACCTCTATGACTAAATTCGGCTCTTCTTTTGCAGATAGAGCTTCTCTTACTGCAGATCCATTTTGCTTTAGCCCTTGGCTCGATTCCTGCCCAGTCTGTCCAAATGATGTTCTGTAACGGGTCTGATCTGCTCCTTCAGAGGAACTTATAAAGCATCCCAGGGTTTTTTCAAGTGACCTCGATTTTTGAGAGCTTGAATAGGAATTATTTTTGTCCTCTGATGTGGAGGAGACATTTTTAATATCAAACTGACTCTGAACCACCTCACCGTCTCTTGGGACATTGGCTAATTTGTCAATTTCCTCCTTGTTCTCTGGTCTGAAGCACAGAGAGGGTGCCAAACTGGAAGCTACCTTTGTTCCATTCGTTTCTTCTCTAATATTTCCTTGACTTGAAGCTTCACTCATATTTCTCAAACTAAGGTCCAGATTTTGTGCTCTAGATGAGTCCAGAGGCTGTATGTGCTCTTGAAATCCACTGTCACTAGAGGCAGCATCTTGTGCGTATTCTGCACCTGTTACAGCACCATAGTTGCCCAAAATCCTATTGTCAGTTAAACCTCCTGATTCTGATGTATCCCATGTACCCGGGAGACCATGCAGTATTTCCATGCTGGGGATGCCTGTTTTCCCCATAGCTGTGACATTGTTGTTGTTCCCTTCAGCTGGGATAGGTGATTCTGGAGAGTCAGGGTTTGCTGCGTGAAATATAACGTCTGCTTGTACTGTAAACATGTTTCTGTCTTGCAGAGTGTTGTTCATCTTTCTGTAGTTGCAATACACGTAATGTCACTCATTTAGTGCTTTCAGAGCAATAAAAACAACTCTGAAGTCTCCTTTCCCAACAGTAGAGTTAAATTAATCCCAGCGGGCCTCAGGAATGACTGGCAGATCCTAATTATTGGGGTAATGATCTTTCAGTCAACATTGCTAGGAGTGTCCTAGCTGGACATGTTTGCTGTTTGTTCCATCAATGTACATTTCATCCAGATAAACAATAAAAATAAACACACATTTCCTATATCAAAAGAAGATCCTTTGTCCTCTGTGTTCTCAGCTCTGGGTCCAAACCTTCTGAGAAAAGAAGACAATGTTATTCATTCAAATAATTATAATTGTATTACCCAAATTCATATTCCTCAATAATCTCATGTAATCCTAATGATTAGAAATGTAATGTTAAAAATAAAAGTAAAACACCTTCTGACGTGAACTAATAGCCTATAAAGTGGTGCTCTTTTGGGGGGAAAAAAACTCATTTATTCATGCTTACGTTCATCTGGGAAGAGTAAACATAATCTACAAGCGCTGACAAGGTCTTGTAGCTCATTCCTTTTACTTTCAGGATGTCTCGAGAAAGCCTGGCCTTAAAATAATCACTTTTCTCAGCTAATACTGATTTGTGTGCTTGTATTTTCTGTCCGCCCACCTCTATGACTAAATTCGGCTCTTCTTTTGCAGATAGAGCTTCTCTTACTGCAGATCCATTTTGCTTTAGCCCTTGGCTCGATTCCTGCCCAGTCTGTCCAAATGATGTTCTGTAACGGGTCTGATCTGCTCCTTCAGAGGAACTTATAAAGCATCCCAGGGTTTTTTCAAGTGACCTCGATTTTTGAGAGCTTGAATAGGAATTATTTTTGTCCTCTGATGTGGAGGAGACATTTTTAATATCAAACTGACTCTGAACCACCTCACCGTCTCTTGGGACATTGGCTAATTTGTCAATTTCCTCCTTGTTCTCTGGTCTGAAGCACAGAGAGGGTGCCAAACTGGAAGCTACCTTTGTTCCATTCGTTTCTTCTCTAATATTTCCTTGACTTGAAGCTTCACTCATATTTCTCAAACTAAGGTCCAGATTTTGTGCTCTAGATGAGTCCAGAGGCTGTATGTGCTCTTGAAATCCACTGTCACTAGAGGCAGCATCTTGTGCGTATTCTGCACCTGTTACAGCACCATAGTTGCCCAAAATCCTATTGTCAGTTAAACCTCCTGATTCTGATGTATCCCATGTACCCGGGAGACCATGCAGTATTTCCATGCTGGGGATGCCTGTTTTCCCCATAGCTGTGACATTGTTGTTGTTCCCTTCAGCTGGGATAGGTGATTCTGGAGAGTCAGGGTTTGCTGCGTGAAATATAACGTCTGCTTGTACTGTAAACATGTTTCTGTCTTGCAGAGTGTTGTTCATCTTTCTGTAGTTGCAATACACGTAATGTCACTCATTTAGTGCTTTCAGAGCAATAAAAACAACTCTGAAGTCTCCTTTCCCAACAGTAGAGTTAAATTAATCCCAGCGGGCCTCAGGAATGACTGGCAGATCCTAATTATTGGGGTAATGATCTTTCAGTCAACATTGCTAGGAGTGTCCTAGCTGGACATGTTTGCTGTTTGTTCCATCAATGTACATTTCATCCAGATAAACAATAAAAATAAACACACATTTCCTATATCAAAAGAAGATCCTTTGTCCTCTGTGTTCTCAGCTCTGGGTCCAAACCTTCTGAGAAAAGAAGACAATGTTATTCATTCAAATAATTATAATTGTATTACCCAAATTCATATTCCTCAATAATCTCATGTAATCCTAATGATTAGAAATGTAATGTTAAAAATAAAATTAAAACACCTTCTGACGTGAACTAATAGCCTATAAAGTGGTGCTCTTTTGGGGGGGAAAAAACTCATTTATTCATTTCAATAAAGCAAGTAATATGTCTGCTGCAGTGACAGTATAGATCATGAGCTTCACCCTCCCTGATCAGCACTGAAATGCTCCATTTGAGACACTCTAATGCGCATGCGCACTACTCGCAAACATACTGAGCTTTATGGATTAAATCTTAAAGAGATCGCGAAACAGTAAAATTAATTTACACCTTTAGTTAATGTTCTGTCACTATAGTTGTTAAATTACCCATTCTAATAGACCTAAAAAAACAACAAAAAAAACATATGTACAGCGGACGGAAGACAGAGATATTATGGATAAGACTAGGGAAAAGATGAGGCATTTTCAGACAGATAATGTAGTCTTTAAAATAATAATATTGAATAGATTCGAAATGATTCAATAGATCCAGTACTTACGCGTTAAACGGCGGGGTTTCTTTGCTCAATTCCTTACACAGAGCAATCTTATGTAAGTCAGTGACTGTAACGTTAGATCTAAATACACCGCGCTGCAGGGAATCTACACATTGGTCTATCGAGGGTTGAGTTTTTCCAAATTCAGACCACTTAACCATTCACAGAAATGTACCATCTATCCCATACTGTAATAAAACGGCAGTTCAATGAGAACTTATCTTCCTTCTCCTCATCCTCGACCAACTGTATGCGTCTGCAAGCCTTGACTGGAGAATCGGCGTCCACAAAATATCATTATCTCAATGAAGCGAATAAAACGAGATATATTCCACAGAAGCGACCCTGTGCTCCGGATCTGATCGACACCGCCTCTCTGCCCTCGGAGAGCTTTGCAGTATCCTTTATTTTATTGTAGGCTGAGGTAGCTATTGATCTAAACCACACCCCCGTTTGTGTTCACCCTCTACACATCAGAACTGCTGATCAAATCCACGGTAAGCGCGACGTTCCCGCACACTCGACGCGAGACGCGCGGCGTGCGGCCAAATGAAGGATGTTGCACAACACTCAAGGGGGACTCCCAAGCGCAGAGCATTGTAACGTTTATTGCTTGCAAATACTAAATGTCGTGTTAAATCATCTTATTATACAGTAATAAAAGGTGATAGTGATTTTCTAAAGCACAGTAAACTGGCTGAATCCGTGAAAAACAGTGAATATATTTGATATTCTTGACAAAATACTACATTAAACGAAAAATGCATGTCTATATACATGTCTACTATGTAAAAAGCTCACAAATGTCAGGTTTTACTCAAAAGAGAAAAAAGCAAAGCTTGAAAAATGGTCAAAAAGCAGCACGACTTTATCTGGCCTTCTCAAATGTGGTGAAGTTTTATGAGCACATTAAAGAAGACCATTACTCTCCATCCTGATATTATGGGTTACACTGCTCTTCAAGAGAGTTACTAGGGTAACCACTCCATTTCAGAGAGAAACACATCAGAGTTGAGACTGTCTGTCAGCCTGACAGCACATGGTCGGACTGAGATGTCACTATTGGCCCTCTAAATACACACATCAGCTGTTCTCAGTCTGAGGGGACTCACAAAGATCCCTGAGCCCACAAAAGCTGAAAGCATTGCATATATTAGTGTGGGAGGCCTCCTGCAGAACAACTAAATCTCTCCACTCTTTATTATGACAAACAGATATCAGATCAAAACACTGAGATATCAGCTATTTTTCTCTATCTCAAAAACTCTAAATACAATATTTACAAGAACTATTTACTTGGCATTTTACAAAAGGATTATTTTAGGGGTTCATAGTTTTTGATTCAATGGTTGTCTTGATGTGCAAAAAAATCTGCTCAAATATTATCTGCATTTATATAAATATTAATATTCTCACTCAGTGTGTAGATCCAAGTGAGAATATCTAAACATCCAATGATTCTCAACCATCACAGTTAAGGGATAAATATGACCTTTTTTATTTCCCTTTTAGGCAGTTACCTTGCAAAATTGAATATTTCAAGACAAATTTCTCTGAAATGCATCACATTGGAAACAACAACAACAACTATACATTTTCATTTTTTAAATTAAGTTTCTTTTCTTCCTTCCATGCCCAGGTCAATTTTACTGTAAGCTCTAAAATCAGTGTTGCTGTTGGTAAAGTGCATTTCACAGAAATCCATTCAACCTCTGCTCAGCCTCAAATTAAATTTTCTTCTAGGGTCATTCCCTTATATATGAGCCGGCAGTTATAGTCCATTAAAAGGAAAGACCCTAAAAAGGGACAGAAAATAAAAAGCGCCAGTTGAAAAAAAAAGCAAACAAAATCACACATGGTTATCGATTACACTTGCACAGATATACAAAGAACGCTGGTTAAAACAATGGTATATATTTGTTAATATACAAGTCAGAAATACATATCACAATGTGTCAATATAAAGCTTTTTCCATACCTTTAAATATTGATAAGCATCAACTTTAAATTAGAATTATGGAGGAATGCCATTTTTTTGGACATTGGACACCAACTTCACTTTAGGACCCAAACAGAGTCTCTGGCCCGCCAGAGAATCTCATACAAGTCATTCAGTCACAGGATGTAGCCATTCACAGAGGCCAATCTAAAGGCCATAAACCTCAGATAAGACCGGATTCAACAATTGTTTTAGCACTTCTTTTACAAGAACAACAATTCCTTGAAGCAAACATTTTGAGATGTCCTTTCATGAAATGTTCTTTAAAGAAAAACAACTGAAATTAAATGAAGAGCTAAACAGATGCAGGTAAACATGTTTAAAATGTGACGAATGATAAAAAGAGTTCTGCTGTTTGCTAGTAGGCTAGATATGTTCCGTTTCTTTCTTTTTTTTTTTTGTGAAATGTAATTACCTAGCAGTTAAAAATGTTATATTTCCACAATTAGACCTGAATATTATCACACTGAAGTGGTACTGACATTTTCACAAATGCACTTTTTAATTTAGGCGAATGTGTCGAGTGGTAAAACACATTTCTCTGATGCATGACCGAGTACTTGGTAGTTCAGCTCATTCCTGGAACACATTCTTTTTTCCCTTCATTCATTAATCTTTTTTCCCTGTCAGCCCATGACTGAATGCAGGGTCAGTCTAAGCAACTGCTCTCTCTGACGTGCAATGGCCTATAATGAAGACATACAGTAAAAGCATCATTAGATGAGTAAAAGAAACAAAAGAGTGATAGACACTGGTGGTTGTGCAGCTGCATCCAAACTAAAACCTGATCCTCACTGTTCTCTGAATACCTCCATCTTCTCCCTCACAGGCTGGGCAGTGGTATTTGCCACACCATAATGGTGGACACCATCTCCTCATGCTTAGACTGTTTTGTTTTTCTGTTGATTCTGCGATGTCCCAGTCCTCCAGACATCACCAACAATGAGCTCACATTCACTCTCTCAGTCTGCTTGGCCTTCTGGAAGTGTGCCGGCTCATTCAGCAGGTCGTATATTGCCCCGTCCTCTGGGCCGTGCTCTAAAGAGCCCTGAGACGGAGCCAGAGAGCCACATGAGGAGGACAGGGAGTCCTGGAGAACAGGAGCATGTGAGGGAGAGCTGGTACTGCTGCGCCCCAGCCCAGAGCAGTTCTCATCCAGCTGGGTTCCCTCCACCTCATGGGCCCCAGGCTGGCACTGGCTGGGTGTGTTGGAGGTGAGAGTTGCCATGGATGCTTGGGAGACATTACACACTGCTGTTGCCATGGTGAGGAACTTGACTGGGCCATGGTGAGCGTGAAAAGAGACCATTCCTCGACCTGGAGTGAGACAACGAGGAAGATGAATGACAAAGACGTTAAAAAGTTTGCTCAAGCAGTATAAAACTAAATAAAAACAGAAAATACACAAAAAAAAAAGTCAGAACACAATAATGAGATATATAAAGGAAGTCAAATATATTTCTCATCAAAACAAAATATAACAATTTTAGTATAATAATTACTAAAAAACTTTCTCAAATGTAAATATTAAATACAAAAACATATATGTTTTTTTTTAATTTTAGCATTATATATAAGTTTATTTATTTATTAATGCTTTTTAAATTAGCATTTAATTTTATATTTTCTTTTTTAATATTTCTATTTAAATTGATTTTTATATTTTCATTGTAGTACTTCAACTTTTTTTAGTTACAAGGCAATATTTTTAATTTCAATTTCAAGTTTTTTTTTATAATTACATTTTTTCATCTAATATTTATATTTTATTTCATCAGCTTTATTTTTTGAGTTTTAGTTAACAGTGCTCATTAACTGTCTGGAAAAATGAAAGTGGTATCAAAAGTTCAGGCAGATGGGTTTTTTCATTGTTGGGTGTGGTTTGTTCCTAAACTTGTGCTGAGTTGTAGTATTTGAAAGTGCTACAGACTTAAAATTACCCACAGGGCACTGGGCAGCAAACAAACCTCTGCTGTTAGCACAATTCCACAGTAATATGCATCAAAAACTGTTTTTCTGGATTTTTATGTCCCACACATGACCGAATGGATTAGGCCCACCTGTGACTTTTGGGATGCCCTGCAGTCTGGGCACAGACAGGGCCACTGTGACCCCGAGATTGGTCCCCACCAACAGCAGTCCGTGACACACTAACAGACTGCTCACAGAGACTCTCTGCTGTCCTGAAAGGGAACATTTAATTTGCTTTAATTACTTGCACTGCAAACTAAATCAGAGAAAAACACATACTATAAAACACTTGTGGCAAGCACTCATGACTAGAGGTACTTGGTGAAACATTCAGCCAGTGGAATAATAACATCATCCACACATGCTAGGCTGTGTGGGTAGGAACTCGACAGCATGTGTGGGTAGGTTACTATGGGGATGATGCTGAACAGCAGTTGGTTTCCAAAGAAACCTGACACGATGCGCACTTAGAAATGGTAGGGAGGCCTCATTAGAAAGAAAAGAATACCAAATGTTCAGACATTTGGTTAAACAAACAACTCTAAATCTGTACATCATGTACTGTACATTAAATGGAATCATTTCAATGAAATAAAAATGATAAATGAGCTACTGACATCCATTTATCATGACATGTCATCTTGTTGATTAAATAAAATCATAAGCACTTTCATGGTCTTTCAGTCATTTTTGACCCATTATTGGTAAAGAATATGCTATAGATTGACACTGTGAAGAACATCTATACAAACATCATGAAAACACCACAAAAACACATTTGAAAATATGTAATAAAAAACACCATTCTTCTTATTTAAAGTATATTACTCCAATTATATATATAAAAAATATATAGTATAGAATATAAACTTTGGGACCTGTTTTAGTGTAAGAATTCATGATGTTTAGAAGGACAATGGGAAGGTTAAAGGATTTTATGCACTACACTTTTCAGAGACTTTTATCTAAACGCAATAACAATGTGCATGTAATTTTTAATAGTGTGACTAAGGAGGAAGAATGTCATCGAACACAGAGCTGTTCTTTTGTCACTTATCACACATGAGCAAACAGAACTGCAGGTAAAAAGGAACAACACCCATCTATGGGTCAACACCCTCCCAAACACCTGATTGTTCACGACCAGACCGCAAGTTTGAAGTGTCAGTGAACAATGTCCTATTTAGCTGTTCCTTAGTGCTCACTGACTCGTTAGGAACGGATTGGCTCATATTTCTGAGCATCACAGATCATTACATTAGTCATGGAAACTGCTCTAATCAGTGGCTATAACTAAACAAATGAGGGCTGAGTTTGCAAAAACATCTGCACAGTTTTGAAGTGTTTTACTGCAAGTCCTGTAGACTAAATCTGTCACAAAGAAAGTAAATTAAGTTTTAAATGGCCACTTTGTCAACAACTGTTCAGTCCTCCTAATGAACAATGGAAAAAGACCCATTTAGCTTTAAACACTAAATTTTTCTT